CCTGTAGCCATCCACTACAGTGCGCAGGACCCACGGGGAAATGTTTGCAAGGCTCCGCCATGCTTCTACAAAACGCATGCGTAGGTCCCCAGTGGCACCCTGAAGCGGAGGACCGCCAGGGAAACTCGCCGGCGACCCACGGTGTGTGAGCCCGATCGTTTTCCAGCTGACTGGTGAGAGCTCGCTGGCGGTTAGCGTGTCCCGAGCGCCAAGACGGCGGGAAAACAGAGCCTGTTGCCTGAGCCGCCACAAGGGAGGGGACCTCGGTCAGCCTCTCGGGGGGCTGTGGGCGAGAGCGCCGCCTCGCGTCCCGGTTTTGTTGAGGGGGACTACGGGAAGCTCGTCTCTCTCCTTTCCTACATGAATTTATGATGCAAATGTTTTTATTTATGAAAAGGGAAACACAAAATTCAGGTGGCAGGTGAAAATTTAAAATCTAAAACTCTAACAGAATATAATTCAGTAAGGCTCTCAATTTGTGTTGCTTTCAGGTCTGTTTCTCCTGTAGATCAACTTTTCTCATGTAATATCATCCCTGCTGAGTCAGCACACATGCAGGCATGATGTAGTCTTCCCTCCTCTTTTGTCATGTTCACAGGGAGAGAATGGAATCACATGAAGTACACTGCGTACACTATGTATAGTGCGTTTTGACAGGGTAGTGTTTTATCAAATCAAACACTGCTGTTGTGCACTAACCTGAAATGACTATCGCAAGATTGCACAGTCCCCCAGCACAGAGGCTGCCTGCAGAGCTCCAAAATAACAACCAGGTTTTATAATCCAAAATAAAATGCTCTGAATATAGTTTATTGCCAAGTTCAAACTTAGAAGTAATTTGCTTTGGTATATTGGTGCATAAATAAGAATTAGATAAAATAAAGCAGCAGAAAGCAAATATTGATTAACTGTACACTAACAATGTAATATCTATAATAATAATAATAAAAATTATGTAACGACAGTCCCCTTTTCATACTATTTCCGTTGTTTATTTATTTATTTTAAGTTTCACAAGCCAAGAATTTTCTGTACATCATGAGCCAGATGTCTCTTGATTTGATTTAAAATCAAGAGACTTCCCCCACTGCCACTTGCGGAGCTTCTCAACTCCCACAATGTTCAAGCACCTTTTTGATCCGCCATCACTTTTCGTAAAACTGTCAATATTCGACATGTTCACATTTGCTGTACTTCTCAGTGTGAACACACTTATGCCCTCAAAATAGTAAATGTAAGTATGGAAGTGGGCAAAGTGCCCAAAAATATTTTCTCATCGGATCTGCACAAATCACGTACAGTAGTTGACCTATTTTGGTTTCAAAACAGCCTATTTCGCAGAAAGGTGATCCAGTTGCCCTTGATTTTAACCTTCGTTGGATATCCAAAAGATGCTCAAGGTAAACACATTACAGTTGTGTTCAAAATATTATTATATTATTATAACAGCCCAACATCACTAACCACCTCAATCATTGTTTGTGGTAGAAATTATATTCCTACATGGCACATAATTTATTAGTAGGTGTAGAAGAGTAATAGAAAACCAACAGACCCAACAATCATAACATGTATGCTGCTGATCCTGTGTAATTGGACCATTAATTGAAAGGGGCATGTTCAAAATAATAGCAGTGTGGAGTTCAATTAGTGAGGTCATTCATTCTGTGAAAAAACAGGTATCAGACAGGTGGCCCTTATTTAAGGACGAAGGCAGCAAATGTTGTTCATGCTGTGTTGTACATGTTATAGAGTATTTCTCTCTAACAATCGGAGTAAACTGGGTCATTTCAGACATTGTTCAGAAGTTCAAAAAACATTGTGCTTTGATTAAAACGTTGATGGGGGGAAAGCATTTAAAGAAGTGCAGAAAATGATAGGCTGCTCAGCTGAACTGATCTCAAAAGCATGGTGGCGCAAGCATCATGATATGGGGATTTTTCTCATACTATGGTGTTGGGCCTGTTTATCGCATACCAGGGATCATGGATCAGTTTGAATACATCAAAATACTTGAAGAGGTCATGTTGCCTTATGCCGAAGAGGAGATGCCCTTGAAATGGTTGTTTCAACAAGACAACGACCCCAAACACACCAGTAAGGAAGCAGCATTTTGGTTCCAGATCAACAAGATTAACGTTATAGAGAGGCCAGCTCAGTCCCTGGGCCTTCATCCAATAGAAAACTTGTGGGTTGACATAAAACATGCTGTATCTGAGGCAAAACCAAGAAAGCAGAGGAATTGTGGAATGTAGTCCAATCGCGCTCAAAAACCTGTTCACAGGTGCCAGAAGTTGGTTGACTCCATGCAGCACAGATGTGAAGCAGGTTGTAAACAAAAATGCAGATACTGCATTTTTGAACAACCTAATATTACTTTTTCCTCACTTTCTGTAAAGTAAGGACAAATTTGATGATTATTTTCTTCATGTTTTCATTTGGAATAGGCTGTGCAGTGTTCCCATTTGTGTGTATGGAAATAAAAGGTATTATAAGGATTTGGGGGCTTTACTCACGTTTTTCAACACAGTGCTATTGTGATAACTGACTGTGTTGGGAAAATTGATGATTAATAAGGGGTTATATTTAGAAAGCAGATTCCTCAGGTATGGACACAGGAGACAGGACAGCTATAGTTTACAAGTTGGATGCCTCAGAGGAGGTTCTAACCCATTTATACTGACCTTATTTAGCTGGGAATGTTATTAGAGTCTGGAAGGTGTTAAAACAATATTTGTGAACAAACAAGATTTGTTTGTGTGTGTGTGTGTGTGTGGGAGCGTTATTCCGTTGGGTCTTTCCATGACTGTACTTAGCGATGCAATAACAGGTCAGAACTGGCTGAGTGCTGACCCAGCTAACGATCATTTTCTGGCTTTGAACTTAATTACTTGATGAGGAGCAGCTGTGTTGTCAGTGTAAGTTTCAAAGTCTCCCAAAAAATCAGGCTGACACTCCAGATACCAGGGGTAGGTTACTGAAACACTCTTTCTGATATGCCTGATTCCTTGATACTATTTTCATGGGGTTCCTAGCAAAGGCAAATGACATTAACTCATACAAATAAGATATGCTAATTAGATAGAAAATAGAAAAATGGCCAACTTCTACTTTACTTTTATATTGTGAAGGTACATCTGATACATATTACAGCTAATTTACAGTAAGTGTTGGCTTGCAGTAAGTGTCCAGAATGTTTTAACCTTTTACAGCCTATGTGTTGGCTACTATCATGGACTGGTAGAAAAAAGTATACCATGTAAAGTTACTAGTGATGCAGCAGAATAGAAAGAACAGGGAAACCTCCCATTATTCTGACTTGGTTCACACCTTATTCCAAGGCTGGTTACCCATACTGTACCCATACCTTGTAGTCACAATAGTTAAGTGAAAGCGGAATCAATTGTGTTTAATCAATAGAGGTAGTCCCACTGAGGCTGATGGAATGTTTATTACTTTTGCAGGTATTTGGTCATAAACCAAAAGTATTAAACAAATTCAAATTTTGACTTCATGGTTGAAGCCTAGACAATCTGTCTTGTCTTTAGGGTAAAATGCACGCACAACTAGCATATATTAGATTGTGAGCACCAAAATTATTATAAAATCAGGGAAAAATATAACCTCAGCAATGATGGTCATTATAACTGTACTGAAAAACTGGAGCCCAGAATTCTTCTCACAAGGACAAATATAGCGGTTTTCATTCCTCTGTACAAGCAGAACAACAAAGAAAGCACAAGAAACACTGATTAAATTTGCAGCCAAGAGTACTGGCCTCATTTCTTAATTGTTTACAGCTGCAAAATTTCACTGAGCCTTGTATCCTCACCTCTGACTCAGTTGTGTACCTGACTTGAGCATTTGTTCTTTCAAAGTGTTACCGTGTTCAGTAGTATGGAATTATTTTCCTATCTTTATTCAAGAGCATGGTCTTTCAATTTGAGAGCATGATTTATTGATTTCATGTTCATATTTTTTAATGCTTTCCCCTAAAACCCTGCCCTCTCCCTCAAACAGCTGCCACTTGTGCTTAAATTTGCTCTGCTGCTGCTCAAACTGTGTGCTTGCACTCCAGCTTGAGCCCTTCTCCTCGCGTCCAGGCTGCTTCTGTGCAAGTGTGTTGAAAGAATCACTAGCACCATTAAAATAAAAAAACTTGACTTTGGCCATACAGGAGTATATTTTGTAATAAACGACTGAGACAACAAAATTGTTCAGTCTTGCTTGTTTATCTATTCTTATTCTGTAAACTGATTATGTGATTATGCACTGTATATTATCCTCTAACACTGTTGCACATAAACCAGAAAATAAGCATTTAAATCCCAAACTGTGCCACACCAGACTGGAGTCCTCACTCATCAAGACAGACGAACCATGAGGAATTCCCTGGCAGAAGAATCTAACGTCCTTACTGTGTTACTCAGTGTACCAATGCTGTAGATTTATCCAAGTGAATAATGTAATATAGACGGTGTCGCTGTATCTCTGTCATACATGGGAGATCTGGGTCACTACCCCCAAGTGTTTCCCACTGCTTTCATTAAACATTAACTGTGTCTAAGTATATTTCTATGTCTCTGTCTCTTGAAACCACAGATGAGTTCCACTTGGAGGGGAAATGAGATGCGTCCATTAATACATCTCCTTCCCTCTGTTGTTGTAACAGGGTTTTACAGGGTTCTTTGCTATTTTTGATTGAGCAGATTCTGGCCAGACTGAAGAAAATACTTGGGATTTAGGCGATACTGCTGGCCTTTAAATATATCCAACTGCAAATACGCTGCAACATTCTGGTCAGTTGCTTGCTATTAACAACCTACATTGGTCCTGACAGTGACAAATGGAAAGCTATACTGAGAAATGTAAAAAAAAAAAAAAAAAGACGAAAAAAAAATCAGTAAATAAATAAAAAAAAAAACAGTGGTGTATGTGAGAAGAAGAGAAAGTAAGAGAGTGATAGAATTTAAAGAAGTTAATAAAAGTTGGTATCTCACCGAGGTTACATATTGTATGTCCCGGCACAGTTTTGTCTCACGGGGAAAGTCAGCAAGATCCAGGAAGTTGTCCACCACCACTTGGCCAATCAAATCATGGCGAGAGAACCTATCAAAGTCGTAGACGCTGAAGTGCAGCTTCCGGCCTGACAGCTCGGCGTATGCTACAGGAAAGAGAAATACCTCATCAAACACTGGGTTGAGTGTCTTGCGGTGCACCTTGGTCTGGTGCTTGTTTTTGCGGTCAGGCAGCAGGTAGATCTTGACGTAAGGATCGGAGGTCCCTGAGAAGTCCTTGGCGGGGAGGTCCTGGGCCTTGTGGATCTTCACGATCAGCTGCTCAATGTCAAAGTCAAACTTCAGGACAAAGTGGAGACGCCCGCAGCTGTCGGTGCGACGACCATCTTCTGCGTCAACCGAGCGTTGCTTGTACAGTTCTGGTTTGATTCTACCCAAACCAGACAGAGATTCCTGGCGCTGGAACTGAGCAGGATTGAAATCCGGATTGGACAAGTTCATCTGACGACGGATGGAGTTGTGCCTGTAACAAAGTGAAATTTGGATCAGGTGGGATCATTCCAACCATTTTCACTGACTGTATTCTTTGTTGAGTCTCTGTTGCTGTAAGGCAACTGCTGAAGCCACTGAAATCCCTTAACCCTGATGTTTTATAAAGTATTCGATAAAGTATCTCTGAACCCAGAGGTCTAGGTGTCTGTTTTTAACCTGCAAATACCAGAAGTTGGGCAGTAGCTTTGGGGATTGACATGTACTGACCGTACAGATGAGGTAGGCTCAGTAATCTGTCTCTGGACCCTGTCCCTGGCCAGAGTGTGGACCTGGTTTTTCTCCACCTTATTCTGGGTCTCCAGCGGGATGTCAGGCGACGTGTGGCTTATCTTTAGGGCTGACTCTGGGACAGCCACAGCCGAGGGGGGGCCTGAAGGCTCCTTCACACAGCCATCCTCGCTGTACTCCCTTTCCTCCCCGTCCACCTGCACAGCAGACACCAGTGTTGTCAGTGAATCCTATTGTAGAAATGCTAACTTGGGAACGGGAAATTAGGTTGGGAGTTTGGAGGAGTTGTGGTAATATAAAATGGATTTATTTTTAAGCAGAAGCGATACTGTGCCTTGGTAGACCAGTTCATCTTTATTTAAGAAATTAATTGTTCAGTAGACAAGCGAAAGCTTCCATGTGGTCGGACTCTCTGGTAGCGAAGTTGAAAGTATCTTTATGAGAAAACTGAGCTGTCAGACAAGGACTGAACAGATTAATGTATGTGTTGTAACTACAGGAGTTCACTCAGTAGAGTGTAGGCTCTTCCGGGCCTGGTATCACCAAATGGCATACGATTAACACTGCAATGTCTTTTAGCATTCGTGCTGTACTTTTTTGTGTGTACTGACCTGTGCAGAGATGGCATGTCATTTTACATGCAAATGTCATTGAGAAAAAAAACAAGTCAGGTGACAAAGTCCACGTAGGGATGAGGTAGGGTGAAAATTTGTAAATCTGGCAGTGGTGAAGGCATGACCTTACCTACTCTGCCTCTGATTGGCAATGACATTTCTCACGTAGCCCTTGCTTTTCTGCTATCTTCTGCAAATTAGCTTGAAATTGTTAAGCCATAATAATTTATTCCAATTGCAGTCCATTTGTTTACAGTATGTATGTAGAAACCCATTCACTCATTTATAAATAAAGATCTGTATATGTTTAAACCACCAGCATCCATCTGGTTGACTTGACTCATTAGCGAGGTCTGATGAATCAATGGCTGACTACCATTGATCCTTGAAATGTGAGATCTGGTGTTATGTTGAGCCATGACTTACTACTATTTTAAACACTGTTCTATTCAAGGCATGGCATTCAAATAAAGCAAGCGTTACACTGTGATTGTATTGCAAGCTGCATTCGCATCTCTTTCATCCACCAAAGTGGCTGGTGGATCTTGTTACGGTTAACAATTTTAAGTTAATGAAAAACCAAAAATAGCCACTACTTTGCTACCTGTACTGTGAACAAATGGACTGCTTTTACAATAAATTATACAGCTTAACAAAGTAGGGCTACATAAGAAACATCGTCATTGTTAGGCTGAACCAGTCAGAGGCAGAGTAGGTTGGGTCATGCCTTCACCATAATAGTATCTGCAAATTTGCAGTCTGGGTGGACATAGCTATCATATTCTGCTTCCCTGCTTCATCCTTAGAGACCTGCTGCTTCTGTGATCGCTACTGTGATGCTAATATTCAATACTGATTAACTTTATGTTGCTCACTGTCCTGGCACTTTGAGTTTTGAATGTGAGCCTCTCCTCCTTACCTCTGTGAGGACAGGCTGTTGGTCTCCTCCCAGGAAGTACGCTCCTTTGAGGACATCCGGGAGGAAACGGCCACTCAGTGGCACCCAGCACAACTTCCATGAGACAAAGAGGGAGACGCTGAAGAGAGCCAGACCACAGGTGGTCACCAGAAGGGACAACAGGCTCACCGATACATCTAGAGATGGAAAGGAGAGAGAGAGAGACTCACTGAGCAGTGAACACAGCTCTGGCAGTTAAAAATTCTGGCACAGACAAACCTGGCTCCCCAAGGATGACAAACTGCATTTATTCAGAGTGCTAAATGAGAAGGAAATCTATATGGAAGATTTTATTGGACTTTAATATTTGTAACCCACAGAAAACAATCCACAAATGTGTACTAAGATGCGCAAATATTTCATTCTCTACAAATGTGTATTTTTACATTTGTGATCATATCCACAAAAATACAGTGACTTCTACACACAAAACAGTTTTTGCACATTTGCAGATTGCTTTCTGTCAATTTGTGGGTCATGTTACATTTGTAACTTCATTTTTACACATTTGTGGAATTTTGACACATCATAATTTGTGTTAGTTGTGTCATTTAGGTTGATAAAGTATCCAACAGTAAACTATATACACTTGTACATAAAAGTTTAGAAAGAGAAGAGTCTAGTTGTCTCTCAGAAGCAGAAGTTGTTTTCTCCTACAGATGACCCTGGGTACTGCAATGGATATTCTTAGGCAATGTCTCTACCGCCACCTGCTGGTGTAGCTAATAAACTGCTCTCACATTTACAGATCTCTGTTTACAGATCTCTGTGGTACAGAGTGGACAAAATCCCACAAATGCATAAAAAGGAAGTCACAAATGTAACGTGACCTGCAAATTGACAGGAAATGATCCGCAAATGTGCAAAAACTGTTTTGTGTGTAAAAATAGATCCACAAAGGCATAAATAACACTTTGTATGTGAACTTAAAATATGTGTGTACAGAGTAAATTGTACATATTTGCAAATTGCACTGTATTTTTGTGGATATAATTTTACACAACACAAATGTAAAAATACATGTTTTGGGTAGAGAGATATTTGTGTATGTTTTTTTTACAGATCTCTGCAGTACACATTGGACAAAATTCCACAAATGTGTAAAAAGGAAGTTACAAATGTAACATGACCCACAAATTGACAGAAAGCAATCTGCAAATGTACAAAAACTTTTTGTAGTTTTGTGTGTAGAAGTCACTCTGTATTTTTGTGGATATGATTTTACACATCACAAAAAATACACATTTGTAGAGAGTGAAATATTTGCGCATCATAGTACATATTTGTGGATTGTTTTCTGTGGGTTACAAATATTAAAGTCCAATAAAATCTTCCATACTACAGTGTCGCACTGCAACAGCGAGGGTGGGGTATGTGGGGGCGGGGCTTATATGCTCTGTTTTGGTAGTGAATTGTTGAAACTGAGTTATCATCATCAAGCAGGTTTGATATACATGAAACGACAACGAACAAAACAAACGTGTTGAAATGGAGTTGTAAGAGTGTAACGAAGTTCTAAGGAAGCGCTGAATATCTATATATATAATATTTCCGGCATTGTCGTGTTGTTTCAGTGTTATTAATGCTGTGGTATTAACGCACATTTTGAACAAGCACTGCATCTAAAAAGCACAGGGAGGCGTCAAATCGGTCCCTGTAAACGGGCACTGCACTAGCATAAACAATTAGAGACAGCAACACATTACTTTGATGATGACAAGGAGATTACACAGTACTCTGACGTCACAAGCCCAAAACTCCGTCTCACTCTACATACCAACACTACAAACAGAGTTTCAAAATTTCACCCTGGCAGGAGTTTTCAAAAAGGTTCATTTTCAGTAACTAAAAAAGTGGACGCAAGGCCCAAACGCACAATCACACAATCCTCTGCCATATTTAAGGAGAGGCCAAACATCCAGTCTCCGATGGGTTCCCACATCAGAAAGATATGATGGCAATCTGGATCAATGTTGTTCCTTACTGATGCAATGTGGTCTTGTTTTTAATCACAAATATACTCTACTGATCAAGTCAAAGGTCACTTTCCTGATCAGGCTTCTCCGGGGCGAAGCTTCAGAGTGGGTGTCAGCTGCTTGGGATAGGCAGTCTCCTTCCAAAGCCACATGCTGCCTTCACAGCTGAGATGCATTAGCTGTTCGATCATTCCGTAAGAGGTAAAGATTTTAGAGATGTTGTTGCTGCACCAGGGGGGTGGCAGCATGACAGAATATGCCATAAAGTTTGGTACTTTGGCTAGAGTGGATGGAACAATGAATCATTAATAGCTGTGTTTTCTAATGGATTGAGTGATCTTTTGAGGACGAGCTGATCTCTTAACCATGAGTGCTTGGATGAGATAATCTCTTTTGCCATTCGCATAGATAACCAGTGGCGGTTGTGTAGGAGGGAAAGACGCCAGGCTTGGAACAGCAGCAGCACCCCAGCGCACTGTATCCCGTTCACAGAAGGGAGAGTTCCCAGGGAGCCGAACCCAAGCAACTGGGTCAGCATTGTCTGGATGCCGAGGAACATTGTGCAGCACTTTATTACAACCCATATTTACGCTTATTGTGGCCGCGACCTCTATTGGCCGTACAACGGTCGCAACAGAGGAAGTTGGGTGACGTGTTATGAATAGGCAGAAAGTTGGTGTAAGGAGGAAACCCCAGACTTTTCATTTTAGTTTGACGAGGAACGTGAAGTAAATGTAGATGTTGAGTGTATTTTGAGTTTTAACTTAAATAGCGTTACTGACATCCAACACATGACTTCCGTAATATACTTATTTTAACCCAAACCAACGTTTCACAGTGTTGTGATGTAGGTCATGTGACTTACGTGTGTTTATCTCATCCATGTTTGTTGACATTTTCTGTTATTGTGTTGGGTTGTGCAATACGTCATTTGTGCAATTTGTAGGCTACTGAGGGTGTGCAATATGTTAGTTAAGCTATGCATAAGCTATTGGATTGTTCAACATGTCATTTGTGTAATACATAGGCTATTGTGTGCAATATCTCATTGTGTAAGGGTTGTGCTACATTTGTGGGGAATGCAGCCGACGGGGTTGTTCAATCAAAAACTACTGTTGGAAGAAGGAGTTAAGGCAGGGGCAGCTTGTTCATTAGGGCGACCGGGCGACGCACAGCCAAGCCGGGAAAGGCAGGGGATTTTTCTCATCCTTTCTACCACACTGTTTGTTAGGTGTGACTTTTTTTGACAGTTTGTCTCTGAATATCGCTGTCCAATCAGCGTCAAGTCGTGTTCCGTGGAGTCCCGCCTCTTTTGGTGTGATTTCAGTCTGGTTGTAAATCGCCCAGATCTCTCTCATAGACTTTCATGTAAAGGCAGTTTTTTTCGAGCTGCGGCCGCTGCAATACAATCTCTATGGGTTCCGGGAGGGCTCACACTTACGTGTTTTTACGTGTTTACGTCATGCGCCCAGCAGCAGAGCTACGCTTCTGCCACCTGAAAATGACTCGGCAGTCCTCCAGCTTGTTCCTCTCACTACGAAAAACTGCTGTACAAAATGTACGTTCAGGCTGAAAATTCAAACGTGGTGTTGGGAGATGCAGCGACTTTACCAGCGGTGAGTAAGACACAGTTTAAATAATACATGTAATTTGTTAAGCTATGAAGAGAGGAAAAGTCCGCTAGCCACTAGGCTAATTTATGCTCTGTAAAATGCCATAGGCTAAGCTAATAATTGTGACTGTAAAAAAAAATACTGGTTATTATTAAACAAACTTTTATGCTTATGTTAAATGTGATTGTTATCAAGCCATGTTTTTATATGTGTTGGTGGAGTCAATTTAAAGTTAGCTGCACTTAACCAGTAACAATTATTTTATGTGTTGTTTTTTTCTTTTATTGCCAGAGGTAGCATGATGTGGTCACCACTGGCATTTTGTCAGAGGAGGGTAAAAAGAAGAAAGAGAAGTAGGAAAGCAACACAGAAAATAAACCAAAAACAATAGAATATACCTTTTATATTTCCCCTTACACGCCTTGATGTTTATGTGTAAATACTGCACTTTATTCTGGATTTGTTGTTCCTAAATAAAAGGTTTGTCACAGATAAATTCATTAATGCTAAAGAAGTTGCCTTTACATCCAAAGGTCTAAAGATCTGTTGATCTTAACTGTGGACTGTTCATTCATTGTAGACGTTGACAATGAACTTCAGTATGTAGCTGTTCACTAATACTGTACAGTATGTAGCCTAAGGAATAATCCTTGTCTTATAGCAGACTAAGACCATTGAACGCATCATCGCAACAATTGCCCCCCCCGAGAAATTTGGCAGGAGCCGAAATGGAGGCTTCCCTGCTGTCCAATTTGCATACCAAATTTGGGGGCGGCTGTAAAAAAGGTCATTCCTCTGGGCATGCTCTCTCCTCCCCTATCTGTGCCTGATCATGCTCTGTGCATGTGCACCCAGTGTCCACTTTGACCACACCCCCAAAGCGCAGCAGTGAATGAGACATGCAGAGGAGCAGATGAAAGCTGGGCTTCACTTCACAGATTATGGTGTATTCTGATGGACAGCTCTCTTTTGAGTGTGCGTGTGCGTCAATGAGAACGTGAGTTTATTGTTGATGTTATGTTACACACTATTGTCCTAATACTAATGTTTATATTTAACCGAGAGTGGTTTTAGACAGTTAGTAGTTGTATTCTGTAGAGGACGCAACACAGCGCTAGCTGCTTGATTTAAAAAAAAAAGTCTACACACCCCTGTTAAAGGTTCAGTGTGTAATATTTCTGAGGATCTATTGACAGAACTGCAATATAAGATCTGAAATTATGACTGTCAGTACTACTTTGTGTTTCTGTTGTATTTCAGAAAATTAAAAAAGACATTTTGGTAATATTTGCAGATTGCTTATCTAATTAAGTAAAGCAAGAGGAACCTTGATCCTCCATGTATTATGTGGTTTATAATGGGCTGTGGTGCAGAAACAGTGAGGCTTACAATGTCCTGTTATCTGTCGGTGGTCATACTTGAAGCACTAGATGTGACAGTGCTTGACAAATTCTTTATTTACATTTATCTCATAGATGACATCTTTGTCCTGTCTCAGGCACCGTAGCTATACTGCTTGCTTGGGTAGGGGGGGGGGTGCAATTCACA